ACAGACATACCTCCCACAAAAAAACAAACACCCAACCCAAAAACACCACCAGCACTTCACTCCCCTCCAAAAAAGGAGGTGGTGGTAGAGAACCTGTAGAAATAAAAATAAATCACACCTAATTTTCCAGTTTTGTTAATGATTTTCAGCGATATGAAGTCACAGGCAGTTCTGTAGCTAAGAAAAACTATTCCCGACACTGTTTTTCTTCCATGTTGCAGTGAAAACGGGAGGGAGGCTCTACACCCATTGACAAACTAAGCAGTCGAAGAATTTTGATTGAGGTGCATGAATCAAATTCATGCACACCTATCAGGAGAAGTTCTAGATGGAGTATTGCAGTAAAATCCTTTAAATATGACAGACATTCAAAAAATAAAAAAGCAATTCTTACCCATCGTGAAGGATCACTAATCAAATTAATAAAAAGGGTCGACAGTTTTGTCCTCCGGACTTCCTGTGACGTTGCACAAGAAACTGCCATGAAGCACTCGGCGCAGGCTTTCCTAACTCCCCACACATTATCAGAGCAGAGCTGGAAAAACCTTGGCAGCTGTTAGGAATGCAGAAAATTTGCAAGTCTTATTAACAGGCAGTACTTGTTTCAAAGCAAGATCTTGTTTTCACACTCATTTCCTTCATCTCCTCTGCCCTCATACTCAGATGCATTAGTTTAACATTTGCAAGGCAACACACATTCAGTAGCATCACCCTCCTAAATCAGCTGCTCTCCTGTTACTTATGGATACAGGTGAGGAAAATTCACCTCTCTGAAGAATAACAACAAAGTACTAACTTTCTAACACTATTCATATTATAAAAAAAAAAAAAAAAGGTGCCAACCTCAAAAACCCGACTCCAAAAATATATCCAAGCCCAGAAAACCTATCATAAGACAAAACCTCATTTCTACACCTTTCTTTTAAAGCAGGTAACATTGAAAGGAACAAAACCAAAGAATACGGGTGCATTAATGTTTTACCTATCAGAGACCACATCAGATTTTTTTAAGATTCTCACTGAAATGCATAGGAAGAGCATCTTCAGAAAGAAAACTTTTCCACCTAAGCTTGCCATGGTTAGACTGTCCGATCTCTGTCACCACCTACCCTACAAAGCAGGACCTGAACTGCATAGCAGAACAGGGGAATGGGAGAAACACTGCATTTGGTGCAAGAGAAAACAGATTTGAACAGAGCAATGGTTTTCCTAATAAACTGAAGCTTTCTGAAGTTGCTCAGGTTTCCTGGAAACTGTAACAGTAAGGATGAAATGGTGTACAGAGTGCAGGTGGGGCAAAGTCATGCAAGTGATCGCACGGCTGCCTTTGCTTGCAGCAGGCAGAGTGGCAAGATGCAAGTAAGACAATGACACTCGTTACAGCTCTGTTGTAAACTACTGATGTTCAGCTGCTCCTACTTTCTGCAGGCAAAGTTTTCTGGACTTTAGCTTTGTCTTAAGAAAAGCTTTTTGCCTTTTTTTTTTTTTAAATAATCCAAAGAGAGCAGAAAATTATATTTGCTGTTATGGAAAACGATCCCCAACCATCCAGTCGCGTAATGGCTTTCACATAAAATAACCATACTTTTTTATTTCATAGTCTAATTGCACTGTCTACAAATTTTAATCCAAGTTCTTGACATGTATCACTAAAAGGGCATTTGTGAGAGAGAAATCAGTTTACATCCCCAAATCAAGAAACATATGGAATGTGAGTGTGTGCAATGACACTTCGTTAACAAACCTTCCACAATACCTATGGAAAACCACAACAAATGCTGTAAGAACATAAGAAATGCCCCTGAGGGTCACACGAGGTGTACCTGTCCCGAAATCGCATCCACAAAAGGCTGCAGAGGCTCTTGTTGAAGTCACGCCTGTATTTACACTCTCTCCATGTAAGTCCCTCACTAACTCATGGCACTGACCCATCAACCATCTCTGCCCTCAACAAGCTCACTGTTCACATCCCCAAAAGGAGAAAGCTTGAAGAAGGATCTCAGAGACTGTCAGGCTGATTTCTGCTCCCTAACCCTGTCATGTCTCCAGGACTAACATCATCCACCAGCTCCTTGGACCCGCCAGGGGAATAGGGGGCACTGTGAAGGAACCTCTGTTCACTTGTCCATCCAGTTCCCTGCTTTTCCATTTTGAGTTTGTAACTCTTCCCCTTTACTTCATTTGTTACTGCCCAGATTCATTTATTTTCTCTGCCTTTCTTTCTCTTTCCTTCCTTCCCAGGAGGGCTGTGAGGCTTTGTCAGAGTCAGCAAAACTGACTTCAGAAGATAAAAATCAATGCAAAGCAACATTAAGTGATGCCATTTGAAGAGACCACATAAGCCTCGAAACTTCCAGCAGTCTATGCCCCCCATGTTCCTCCTGTATCTGCCATCTCTCACTGCATTTATGGACGTTAGAAGCCATAATCCTGCCTACTCCTTGCCCAGTGTACTTTTGTACTTGCAAATACTCTCTGCCTCCACAGCCCAAGGTATCCTCAGTCTGGTCTAAACCCTTATCCTAGCTCTAGAATTGGGTACCCCTTAGCTCTAGACTGTGTGACCTGGCAAGTAAGAGTTTTGTATCATAGTAACCATCTTCAAGATCTTGTAAACCTAACATGACATAACCTCATGTCAGCAAAACTGGAGTGTCACAGCTTTTTCAGTCTCTCCTTACTACGGGAATGTAGTTTCTAATCCTTACAGCTGCCCTCCTCTGTACCTTGTCTAAATCCACTATTGACTTGCATTAAAAAGAAAAATCATTTAAGAAATGGCTTACCAGCATTTCTTCAGTGGCTTGCTGCCCAACCACACTGCAGATATCCCCAAAATTGGCTGCACATACCTTGCAGACAAAACGCGAGAAATAACCACTGAGACCACAGTTTTAATACAGCAAACAAAATCAAAGGAAAAATATAAACAGCTTTTAAAACCATAAAACTACATTTCTGTGCAAACTCAGTATCAGCTACTTCCCCATTCCATCAATTTCCATTGGTTTTGGATTTTTCTTTTTAATTGTTTTCTTCATTTCAGGCTTAATCAGCCTTTTTTTCATCACAGAACAACCCCAGAACTTAAGTGAAGGGGAAGGAGGATAACACACATTCGAAGTGCTGTCAAATGAAAGAATACAAGCAACTGACAAGGAAAAGAAGCTTTGCAGTGGCAAGGTGAAACTAAAACACAGCCTCAGTACTTAAATAACATGTCAGAGTACTGGTTTATTTCATCTTAATGAGCATCTTTAATTCCATCTACGCACAGAGATAAGAGGCCAGATGGCTGATGCTGTATCAGTTATAACTGGTTCACATTTTCATGGCTACCTACACAACCATAAGGACAAGCAGATTCTTTCTTTGTTCCTGATAATAAAGGTAGGGACTCTGGGAAAACCTCCATGTCAAATACAAAATCTATGGAAATGCAAGCTACAAAAGAAACCCCGTATCTTTCACTTAGACGTGTCACAGATGAGATCTTACAGGAACAAGTCATTTAGACAAGTGCGAGTTCCAAGCTGATGACACTCCCCTCACAGATAATCCAGAGCAGCTGCTGATACTTCATACCTTACGAACATGAAACATCCTGCAGTCACAGCACATCTCACAAAACCGAGGAAGAACAAGTCTTTCCGTGATGTCCTTTCCCACCATGGAGGCCATTTTGCACATTATCTAATGGCAAGACAGACACCAATCAGGGATGCTTGCACAACACACAATTCCATGTCAGCTAAGTAGAGGCTTTTTCCATTTACTTTTCATTCTGATGCACATATTATTGAAAATTGTGAATAATATTGGGAAAAAATAAAAATATTTTGAATTGAAAAGGTTTGGCCACTTCTGCAAAAAGCTTTTTTTTTTTTAACCCTCCCCCTGTGGTGATGCAACACAGCTGCAGAAGACATTGGTCTTTCGTGAAACTAAATCAAAGTCCTAACCAATAACTCAACTCTCAGAAATTATCTTAGCAAACAGACTTAGAGAAAAAAAAAAACAAACACAAGTAGAATATTCTGTCACCATCCAATGCTGAATATCTCCAGGTTTAGATTAGATATCAGGAAGAAGTTCTTCCTGGAGAGGGTGGTGAGGCTCTGGAACAGGTTGCCCAGAGAGGCTGTGGATGCCCCATCCCTGGAAGGGTTCAAGGCCAGGCTGGATGAGGCTTTGAGCAACCTGGTCTAGTGGAAGGTGTCCCTGCCCATGGCAGGGGGGTTGGAACTAGATGGTCTTTAAGGTCCCTTCCAACCCTAACCATTCTGTGATTCTATGTTTACAAATAACAGAAAGTTATTGACAATTAATATGCTTAAGTGACTTCTACAACTTTCCTATGATTAAAAAGTTAATTACAACACTCCATATTGTGCATATGCAACTCCCTAACCTAAAATTATTGAAAAAGCATATTGTACCAAAGAAAGTGACAGCTTTTCCCTCTGCTTTTTACTACATTAAAAAAAAAAAAGTAATCCAAAAGAATTTTATGTTTAACTTTACAAATCACATTAATAGAACTACTTAAACCCATTTTCCTGTATTAACAAATTACTATTTTTCTAACCTCTAGGGGCTCAGCAGCCTACAGAAATCTTTCTCAAGTTTCAGTACCTTCAGAACAATGAAGACAGGTAAAACTTCTGCTTTAAATTTTATTCCCTTATGTAAGTTTCTTAAAGAAGGTGCTAGAAATTTGGTGCCAAATACAATAATGCCCAGCCTGCTTATTGTTTATGAGTCAAGTCACATTATGAAAGTAAAATATTAATGAGCTGTCTCTCAACCAAAAAGAATTTTAAAAAAGCCAAAACCAAGCAAACAAAAACCAACAGCAAACATAAGGACACAGAACAACTGCTATTTCTCCTTTATAAATAAGTAAATTTGCTTACTGTTTTCATTCAACACATAATACTTTTTAATTATTAAGGTTGTGTCTAATGCAAAAACAACACCGAGTTAATCAACCCAAATGCTTATTATTTTGTCCAATAAAACAAACAACAACAAAAATCAATAAAGTGAACAGACATACAGCAAAGACCAACAGAATTAAAGATTTTCCACTGATGGAAATTTTCCACATATGCAAATTAAACTTCCATAAAACAAAGCAATCTGAAAAAACTAAAAAGCCAACAACAGCAGATGCTTTAGGAGTCAATAAAATGAACCCCCTGTGTTGTCTTGACCAGCCTGTTTTTCTTTACAGCATATATATACTATTGAGTTTAACTTTAACCTTGAATGTAACACAGCATGGAAAATGTTATGGATTAGTTATTGATAGCAATATAATTTTTTCTCTTTAATACCACATGGATGTGCATCCTGGAAACACACTACCATCACTGCAACATCAAGCATTCAGGCAAGCTTTGTGTATGATTTGATATTGCTGCTACTTACAGCCACGGCTTCCGTCTTCACATCGTCATTGCTGTCTGGAGCTGTCAGATCTATCAGAACAGGGCATACTTTGGTCTCCACATCATATCTCTCTATGAGTTCTTGCTCCAAGAGAACTAACAAAGCTGCCTGGCTTGTTTTTCTTACCTATTTTAAAAAGACAAAAACTGAACCAAGAAATTCGAACACAGCTTTTTGGGTTTTGTTTAAATGCATCCTATATACTGGCATGAACCTATACCAACTGCACTCATGAGAGGACAAGTCCTCCAAAACCAGTTCTGCAAACAGTTGGTGTTTGAAACAAACTATGTTTGAACCCTGCAGAAAACCTGCATATTGTAAACTAAGGTAATGCTGTTATAAAAGTGTCCACCTACATACTTCCCAAAACACAGGACAGCAATGTCAAAAAATGTAGTCATGGCAAAGCTCATGCAAGAAAAGCACCACAACCAACTGGGAGTAACCACATCCTAAGGAATGGGAATTTTATTATACAAATCCTCCTTTTCTGAGATTAACAGGAAAATCTAACAGAAAAAAAAAAAAGACGACTGTTCAAAACTAAGATAACCATTCATAATTGGTTTCATACGTGACTAATCCTTGCCTCCCAAGAAGTAAGTTCATCAGAAGAGAAAACATTATGTAAAAGAAGTGACTATATACTGCAATGCAACAGTTTTGAAAACCCCCTCGAGATCTTTGTCTCGGAGCAAACCAGCCAAACAAATTACGGAGTGTCAACAGAGATTAAGCCGATGAACAGAATCCCTGATCTGCTAGCAAAAGAATATCAAGGAAAAGTATGGTGGTTGTATTATACATGAATTAGCAAACCAACTATTAAGAAAAATATGTTTTGGTACCTATTTTTAATAATGGAAAATCTGGAAAGGGCAAGGAAAAAGTGACAAACTCAGAGGCATAAAATACTTGAAATAATGTATCGCCTTGGAGTAGTCCAGTATGAAATGATGTGGAGAAACCCAGAGAAAGCTTTAGACAAGCTAACTCATACATGCAGAGAAACAAACCATACAAGTTTGATCTAAAAGCTTTATTGGATCAATATACAGGTGACTGGATATGAAGGTACATAATTGTGATAAAACTGAATTCTACCAAGGAGTCAGTTTGTCATAACTACTGTACCTTTTTGCCAGAATTTATATTATGTAAACTTGTCAAAACAACTGTTTTATTTTGTCCATAGGAATACAATACCAGATTAAAAACCCCCAAATCAGAACAGATCATGTTAGATGAAAAAACGCTGGAAGCTTCCTTTAAACGTATTTCAGGTCATTCAAAACCTTTTCACTCTGAAATATTACATGGTTGTATGATGCTAAATGGTTGGAAGTGAAAAACCTTATACCAGGTATATTCAATTAGCTAATAAACTATTTCTGAAAGTCACTTACCTGGTTATTCTGATCTGCGAGGTATCGTACCACAATAGGCAGTAGGTATTTGGAAAAAGCATATGGGATTGACGGTCTGTTTTCTTGACAGAACATAGCAATATGAGGCACCTGTTCCATCAGTTCTGCCCGCACTGTTGGCTCTGCCCAGGTCAAAAAATAAAACCAAACAAGGGACAATAAATGTTTACAAGCATACTGCTAGAATAAGCTTTTTACAGTCCTGTACATACAAGCCACGTGTCAAGTGTTCATGTCAGCATGTTTATGTCAAGCTACGTTTTGACAAGCACCACCTTTTAGCAAAAGCAGCTAGAAGTACACTCTGGACTGCTAAACTACTAAAAAGACGGGTCCCACATCCTCAGTAAAAGAAACAAGACTTTGAAGGGAGCAAGCCAGCAAACATTATGAGTATTAAAATCTGTCTGAACTCCTTACGGACATCGCCTACTTCGAGAAACCTGCTAAGCAGAAAGTCAACTCAACACTGGTGCCACTATGAGAAGAAATGAACTTAGGGGTGCTCCTGGCCACAGCCTCTCATGTGGAAAAGATCCCACTAAGCAGGGCGACCAGCCACAACCACTGATGCTCTTTTCTATTCTTTGCTTTTTAAGGCTACTGATATTTTTTGTCAGATGGAAAGGGTCCTGCATTTTTTCCAATTACAATAATTTGATTTACAATATTTGAAATAATAACATGTACACTGTTCACAGGATAGGCATATGCCTTACTAAATTTTTACATGTAAATTGTTCAGGTAAGACTTAATGGTATGATCAGAACCATCTTCCTTGGAAAACTTGGAATTGATACGATACATTAAAAACACAGCCTTTTGCTGCAGAGAAGCATGTAACTTGCATTTGTATTTAACATGACCAATGGCCCCCAGTACTTGGCTTTCTTGAACACCGGTTACAAGTATCAACTTAGGCCTGAATAAAACAAAACAAAGACAGAGCATGGTCTGCGCAGTCTCTTCTTCACCGAGGACAATGAGAAAACAGATCATAGCACATAAGGTAATCAAATGCCTATGGGCTCCATTTATTTGGCTACAGACTTAAGTTACTTTTCCTGGAGAAAACATACCAAAATCCTCTGTACAGTTTATGAATTGCTGACAAAGTTTCAAAATACAAAATTACATTCCCAAATAAATCAATACTGGTTTGCTGTTCATGACAACACAGAAAAAAATTCTTCCAATCTGCTCTGGTTTTCTTCCCAAAACACTAACAGGAACACATAGGAAAAAAGCCTTTTCATTTAAGCTTCAGATGTCCTGAAACATGCGCAAGTTGAAGTCCATAAGCAATGCACACGTCCTGAAATTTATACTGAAGAAGTCAGCTTGAGTAGTCTTCTTCAGGATCTATGTGCAAGTTTTAGCACATTGAAATTAACAAAAAAGAAAGATAACAAAAGGTTGAATTCTAGGTTGGTGAACACTGTGTTTGAAGCACCAAACATGACAGTTGAGCAAAATAAGCACTTGTAAATAGGGAAAACATAATAATTAATGGGATCATTAATTCTGAAAGCTAAATTATACGTATCTCATTAATGAGAAGAAAGGAAATACTACTTTATGCAGTTTTTCTAAAAAAATATAGTCAGGAAATAAATAGTTACCATCCTACTGAAAGTTTCTACTTTCAGTCTCACTTTCTATTGGGAGCTTGCAGCACCTCCTGCTATTAAAGCTGCCTAGTACTTCCTATGACAGGAACTCATCTCTTGCTCCCTTATAAAAATTTGCCAGAGCAGTCCGTAGAACACGAGATAGCCTAAGCTCCAATTCTTCATTAAGATCAGGAAAAAAAGGTCAACCAAAGCAGATCAGCTGTTTTCAAGACTAAAGTTGATAAAACCATCTGGTGAGCACATTTTGAGATGGAGAAAGCCATCGTCGCTTCAGACTGTACACAACCCCTCTCCCAGAGCAACTCTTTTCAAAAGGCTGCAGATGAGAAACAGAGCAGAATGAGGAACCACCAGGCTGGGTAAGGAGGAATGGAGGGCTGAGGAGTGAGTAACATGGAGATAAAACTAGCCACTAAATGGAAAGGAGACTGAAACCTGCTGGACAAGAAACTGTAACTAGGGCCCAATGCCAGCACTGGAGGGACTTGCTCCCACCTTTCTCATCAGGCTGCTATTCCAAAACATGCCCAGGACATGATCTAAGGGTACAAGAAGCTTGTATCACAACACTTATCACTAGGATCTTGTTCTCACCTCTTAGGACCCCTGCCTCATTCCTTACAGCAGAGAGAGATGACTGATGCGGGAATGGCAGAAGGGATGGGGAGGGACGAAGAGAAATTTGGCTGAGGCTGCATGTTTGGCAACAGTGACACTTAAACTGCTTCCAAATTTGCTTCAGGCAGTTCCCACCCTCCCAAACCCAAAACTTGCTGCTGGCCCTTTCCATTAGACCGATGCAACTATTCGTGCAGCCAGCCTACAAACCATATCAAAGAACAGATCTGCCTGACGCAGCTTCTGCCCCACCACAGCAGCATGATTAAACAGCAAGAACTGGCACTTCACTTGGTTTCCCTGTGCAATCTCCCATTTCCCTCAAGCAGCAGAACTATCTGATGATGGAAGCAAGCAAGTGATGGTAAAAGGGCGCAGGACCGCTTACTGTGATATTACCATCAAAGCAGAGTGAAAAGTAAAATGGTAAGAAACCTGATGCGTTCCTTTGCCTAGCATGAAGCTGTGCAAAATGCTGAACACAAACTCTTCACAGAGTAATTGCACACCATTATCTGATTGCAGTCCAAACCATGTGTCTTCACTGCTGAAGAAATACCACTGCAATCAAAGCCAACAAGATATGCTATATTAAGCATATCAAGAGCCATGTATAAAGCTTCAGACACTCGGCACTTGAAATGGGCAGTGTGTTTTCATTTTGATACCTCCACAGTTTGCCCACCCACTGCTAAAGTAATGGCAACACTCCCCTTCCTCATATTTATTAGGTTTGCTGTGAAATTGAGTTCATAAATTTCCTTATGAAGCACGTCAGTAGGAGAGCAAGGAGTACTAAAAACATAAGATCCCTTTTTCTTCAGAAGAGGATTCATGTATTATGCAGCACTTGAGAGTGGCCACACCACCTGACCAATATTGAAGAGCTGCTCACGTAAAGTGAGCCCCCTTCTTCCTGAGCTACTAAGTAAGCTCTGGCTTTGTGAGGATCACAGAGAGACGAGACGATGCAATTAAAGATTTGAAAAATTCATGCCCAGAAATGAATTAGAACTGTAAAGTCACCTTAGCTCTTACATTCCGTAACTTTTAAGTACATGGCTCTGCAATCTTAGGTCAGTTCAAACAAAAAAAACAAACCAGCCCTGTGCATGTAACTGGCTGTGTAATGCAACGCTGTAATTACTATCAGAAAAGCATTTGTGCTGTTCTGGGGAATTACTCCTGCCATGCAAGAACCTGAACTTTAAGCTTACCAATTTAGGTAAGAGCACAGTTCTTCCAAATGCTGAAGCATATGTTCCAGTGTATACTGGATAGGGCCTAATCTCGCTGTCTGCTGGGGTTACAGTACAGCTTGCTGTTTTCTGCATGATGTTTCCTAAAGAGCCAAGCAACAACGCCAAAAACTTCCAAAGATACAGCACTTTCTCATTCCCTTTGTCCATTCCTCAGCTTTGTCTTTAGCTTAGGCAGGTGACAGATCCAAAACCAGATTCCAGCAGGCTTCAATACAGGACAAGAGTCTGCCATTTCAGTTTAAACTTTCCGACTGTTTAGAACCAAATTTATGGTTTGCTCATCACCACAGTGAATGGAGCATGGCAGTATGTTAAAATTATTACATGCATCTTCTTAAAGCATAAGCTCATCCAGCAGGGGAATACATCTGTATTATGTATTTTTTGCACTGTACAATACCGCCAGGACCAGGCTTTCACACTGTATGAACAAAATCTGGGTGGAGGATTTCGCTTTATCAAGACTGAAAGTTTCTATTTTAGTCACTCTGGAAAATCACTGTGTACAATTATGTTCTCCATAACATTTGCTTAGAACAGTATTTTTCCGTTTGGCAGAGGAAGTATTTTTAAATGCTGCTCTTTTCAAACTATCTCCTGAAGGTACAAGTCATTGCCTTAAAGTAACAGGCTACTAAAAAAAACCCAAAAGCTGGAACTTGTCAAAATAAAGTAACTTGAAAAGAAATACTAATATAAAAAATTAGATCTCAAAGAAACTCATACTTGTTTTGTCATTCATTAGCACTTCCTTTCTCAAGTCTTGTATATTCTCTATATGGAATTACACTGAACTGAGTTTCAGAAATCAAGCAAAACTAAAAGAAGGGCAGAAAAAAGTGAAAATAAACTTCAATTTCTTCTCTTTGTGAAATAACTTTGAAAAGAAGTTGCCAGAATAAAATGACACAGTTTCACCTCTCAATTTCCAGACCACATGAAACCAGCAATATGTTCCAACCAACAACTCCAGAACCTGGGCAGACTTTAATCTGCACACGTCAACCGTCAGTTTTAGCTATTTCACAAATCACTGTTTAAATCAACATCCCCAAATGCCTCCAAAATCATAAAAGTAATTAACTGATTCTTCCCCACCCATGGAACACCACTTAAATTCCCCCTAGAATTTGACACCATCTCTCAAGTGAGCCAAGTGCCAACATCCTCATCAAGCTAGTCCTAGCACATACACATTTATATAGGAAAGCTAAGCGTAATGTTTATTTCATCCCTGCTGAGGCTTCAGTTCCCTCTATATTCCCCTTCAGCTATAAGGAAGCAAAGCACCAGTTAGCTGTATACTGAAAATTAGAAGGGGGTTATTGCAGAGCTGCACATTGTAACACCAGCTAATTGCTCCAGAAGAGTTATTTGTAAATGAAGTATTTATTCCAGAGCCAGCTCACAGCTAGATTTATTTCACAACAGCTTATTCTGAAAAAACTACAGTATTTAGAAGAAATTCTGCAAAGCGTCCATTATCCCAAAATGATCACTCTGGAATACAAGCAGCAGTCAACTACTACATTTGTGAGGGGCTGTTATGGTTTTTGCGTGGTAAAAGTGTATACGAAGAACTACTACTGGGGATGTTAACGCTGCTTTAATTCTCTATTTTGATGATATTTTAAGTGCACCGGAATATTAATAATAGTTGTATTTATTCTTACTAATGGTTCTAAGAAGTAAAGGTGTAAGTGCCTATCTCTGCATTTGCACTTTCATTCTTTATAAAACCATATTTTGGTGAAAGGCAAATGAAAATATTGCTTATATGTTCTAGAAAGAAAGCAGCAGCGTAGAAAACCCCTTCCTGCCCCCTCCCCTGTACAGATGCCCATTTCTGCATGCAACCTGAATATAAGGTCTACAGCACAAGAGGATGCCAATCTGCCACTGGCGTGGCAACAGCAATGGATTTGTATACATGCCTATTCTCAAAGTGTACGTCACCTGCATGATCAAAGACAAAGTTTAAAGAAATTCTACAGTTTACCAACTCTATCTCCTTCTTTCCCAAATATAACTTTCCATTCCCATCTTTTTTTTCTGCTAGTATCATCTGTTTTCCCTTTCCCTTGGTTCCTGTTTCATCTGTCCCTTCAACGTAGGTAGGGACCTTTTTTGAAGGCAAAATAAACCTAGACAAGTAGAAATGCACTGTAACCAGAGCCCATCCCTTTTAGCTTAGGAGTCCCCAGAAGGACTGCTATGTCTGATGTGTGTGGTGCTTCGGCAGTCAGGTTCTTTTCTCAGTCCAGAAATCGACTTCATTGCTGACAGGCAGAGGAAGGAGTGAAACACAGATTAATGAGAGAGGGTAAAGTCTCTGTTAGTCATCCATCAGATGCTTCGAGAGACACGAGAGGATCACATCAAGCACAGGAAAAATTCTTAGCGTAGCAGAAGATGGGAGAAGATGTATGGAAAATCCAGAACCATGAAGATGAGGGATGGGGGGAAAATACCCAGGTGGAGCTATTGACAGCTGGGAAAGGGAACTATTAACATTCCCATTAATACTGCTTACATATGAAGATTTTGTTAAATGAAATGCTGTAAGATGTGCTATTTGGCAGGTATTGTTTGTTGGCATTTCTCGCTTTACCAAGAGCAGTAATTGAAATAGTCTTACTAACACTGGTTAAGCACGCTTATTAAGTAATTAAGGTTGTAAGGTCATCCACATTAAGCCTGTGGATATACAGCTTCACAACTTAATGACCAATTAGTCTAATAATTGTTTTTTAAACCCAGTTTATTTCACAAACTGCATTCACAACTGATTCTATGCAGTAAAGAGATCACTTTTCATTCAGAAGAAAAAAAAAAAATCCTAGTTGGTTATATTCAAGCCAATAAGCACCAGTTCTCCAGGAAGTCACTTCTCCTCCCATCATGTCTTTAGAAAATACCTATATACATCTATTTCATAGCACACTAAAACACCACATACATTTTAGAAATGAAGACAGAGACTCTCCCTCTAAAAGAGCCCTCAGAAAATAAGATTTAAAGCTTCTAGCACCCAGCGTTGCAAGCACACCGAGCAAAATGCCAATAATGCACTAATTCTGGCTGAGGCGACCTTTTGAAGCGAGTTAATTGTACTTGTGCTCACAATGACAAAGCCTAATATCAGATAAGCCTTTCACAAGCTGGTACCAAAAAAAGAACGTTTGAATAATACTAATTTACTCAAGTAAAAAAGACAGACATAAGGGTCTTGTTCAAGCTCACACTAGTCTGAGTCTAGTTTACATTTGAAAATGAAGGCAGCCCAGTTGTTTTAACACAAAGATAAGCACTTCATCATTAACAAGGGTTTATGGGGGATAAATTAACATTTGCCAAGCACAAAACTTCTATGCCAAGCTGCTTCCTGGCTTCTATAGGCCCAAAGACACCATAAAAACATCTAAGTGGGAAGTCATAAACAACACCCCTAAAGAAACAGAGAAATTACAAAGTGATTAAACAGCAGATTGAAAAGCAGTACCAGGTAACACCTTTCTTACCACAGCTGTAATTATTCTAGGGAACTTCCTACCAAAGACAGGAGGGAAGTCCAGAGTTTGGAAGGACTGAAAAATACCCAAACTCCCCAGCACAATCACAGACTGAGCAGTAACACCCAATTACAGCAATGAAGACAAACACTGAAGAAAATAAGCCTTCCAAGCAACTGAGATTTGGAGAAAAACTTTCTTTGGCAAGTAAGGGGGTGAAGGCAGCAGATTATTCCCCAATCACCACTGATGGGCTTCCTCAACTGGAACAGCTATTCTGTGCTGTCTTTATCATAGGGCAGGGAATGATAGCAAGGCACAGCAATCCCTGTGTTCCATTAGCATTGGGAGCAGCTCATTTCCATTATCACCTGAAGGGGATATTTTTTACCCAGTGGAAACATACTAATCATCTTAAGGCTGCAAAATCACATGTAACCTGGAACTAGTTCATTACAAAGAGCCCAAACTGCCCAGTCAGGAGAAGCTGATATTTGCCTTTGCCATGATGCCTCAAAAGATTTTTATGTCATGGCTAGCCAGTTGGCCTGTGAGATCTGTGTCAAACATACCAAACCATAGTCTCATGATTTTTTGTGCCTTTCATCCTACAATCGTATATTTGGACCTAGTAAATCTAATAAAGATGAATTTATTTCACATTAATGCAGTGTTTAGTGTAACAGAGATGACATTTAGCTCCTTAAAGTGTTATCAACATACATGAAGAACAGAATTAATTAGTTTTGAAAGTCTCTTGCTCTCAAAAACAGAAATGGCTGTCTGATTATAGCTCCATCTTATTTTAAAAAAGGAAAAAAAAAACCCATGCACCAAGGGGTGCAAGACCAAGGCATGGACCTGCAAGACCAGGTACAGTCTTCAATTCAAACCTCACTATGACAACTACTGCCAAAAAAAGTACCCTACTCTCTGTGACTTGATTTGACAAGACAAATAGCTTCAAATGTTAAAAAACAGGCCTAAGACTAATGAGTATCACCTATTAGAAATGAGAAGACCTGTGTATAGTTTAGTTTGACTTCCCAACAAGATTTTTGTTGACACATGAAGGCTTGATTGCAGGATGGCTCTAACCATACAGATATCTGGGTCCAACCAAGCAACTCAAAATACACAGATACTTTCACCATGTTTTCTTACTCCTTTGTTTCCCAGAACGAGTTAGAAAAAATAGCAGAAATGTAAAAAAAAAAAAATCAGTTGAGAGAAAAACGAAATGCAAATCTAGTAATAGCAACCTTACCCAAAACAATAAACCCAGAACAAAACAAAAAAAACCAAACCCACACGGTACTGTGGTTTGAGTAATAGTCAAGCACACACATTAAGAAGATAGAAAGCAGATCTAGTTCCCTAACACATTTTCACATGGTTTAAGACGCAAGGATATTCTAAAAACCTGTCTTACCGAATCAGGCTAAGTCCAATGCTGCAACTGCTCGAGGCACAAAAATCACAGTGAAGTTTGCAGAAATTTAACTCGTGGGGCAGCTGCAGAAGCCAGCACTACTAGTTTGACAGATCCAAGACAACTTCTACAACGCAGGAAAAGCCTGAAATGCTGCTTTTGCTGACGCTGAGAAAGTTGTCAGCCCTGGCTAAAAACGTACTCCACCCTTATTAAAGGAAACAAGCTGATTCGAGCTCAACGCCTGGCTTCCATTACATTTCTACCTGAACCAACTCCAATTTCACACACTTAGTTGGGCACCAATGAAAAGCCAAAGGCTACAGAGTTGCTGCACAAGGCCATTTTCCCCTGGACACATCTGTCTATTCTCCACACTTGAAATGAAGCTTCCGTAAGTTTCTGATGCTCAAAGCTGTTTTAACATGACTGTGCACACAAGGCACGGTATATACAGATTTCAGAAGCAGAGCTTTGCTTGGAAGGCACTGCTAGAAACAGTAGCACGCCACTGTTCTCAAAGACACATTTAATCTTAAATGAATAGTGATATTTTTTCCCCTCTTAAAGAACCCTTGGAAAGGTACTCAATGTAGTTATGCAGAGTGTACAACAGACTACTTTTCCTGTCTGAGCAAAGGCATTCCCTCAAAAAAATAAAACCCATGCACTTTAAATGAAGACAGTAATGACAGAATAACAGAAATAAACAGAATAGCTTTTTACCCTTGGATAGCACTATGTTCTCCAATTCCAGAAGACGGGAGAAAAACTAACAGACATTAAACAGAAGAAACATTTTCTTCTCATACAAAATTTAATATAAGTTTCTCTCCATAGCACTCCAATAGTGACAAAATGATAAACTTCAGGTCTTCTCTGAGGTTTTGCCACTAAAGCTTTCCTTCTTCCTTCTGGTGCTTCAACTGTATCAGATAGGTTGAAATCAAGCCCTTAATTCTTTCCAGAGCATCGTCAACATGGAATTTTGTTGCAGCTCTGTCCACATCATTTTTCCCTTCATCCACTTTAAGACCTCCTTTCCCTTCACATTTTTCATTATTCACCTGCTTTTGCCTTTTATCCCAAACACCCAGTAGTCTCAATATATTCACAAGCAAAAGCCCCTCTATGTCCACAGAGCCCTCCTACTCATCACATTTATCTGCATCTTGCTTACCATTTCCTGCTGCTTCTTATCTTCACAACTAGTTGCCCAGAAGGGACAAGGGAACAACTCCAGCATTTAAATTCTGTCAGAACTAACAGCAGTTCTGCACAGATGTTTTGCAAGATTCTTTTCAAGGCAAGAAACTAATCTTTATCTAACAGAGCTAAAATAATCATGTAGATCTGCTGAGTAGCCAAAGTACATAATAGAAATTATCCAAAAATGTACTGATGGAAAGTGGCAATCCTGCATTTTGAAAGGGTTTAATTCTGTTGGGGAAAATAGTAAGGAAAAAAAAGTCATCTTTGGAGAGGTGATTTAGTGAAATCAAATTTTGCAGTATTTTATTGCACTTGTAGAACCCTAGTTTGAATACTGAAGATGAGAAAGAATATATTGGTCCTGTGCTGAACACAGGTTCAGATCCCTCATTAACCCCGTACAAGGTTTAACGCTACCTACCTGAATCATCAGCTAATCTGCTGATTCTCTCCAACACAGCAATACAATCTCTCTCATCATCACTGACTTCCTTCAAAGTGTCCAGCAAACTTCGAGCCACCATTTGCCTAGTTCACAAGAAAGATTAAAAATTAGCATTATTTGTGTCCAGAAATACAGCCAAATCAAAAGTTACGCAATCATACAAGTTTCTTAAACCAACCCATAAAATTGTACATAGATTCACTTATAACTCAGTAAATTTAGTTAGCCCTGTTCTGGGAATTCTGGTACCTGGCAGAATACTAAAGAACTGTTAACTTTAAACGTAACATTAAAAGCATCCCTTTGGTTTACAAGGATAAGGGAAACCAGCCACAAAAATAAAAAAATAGCAATTATCTGCCAAGCGGGCAAACAGGAGCTGAATGTTAGGGAGTCAGTGTCAGCCTTCCATCCTCACCTCTGAATTCTCTAACTTGTTCCATACAAAGCAAGACCACACCACTATGGTCAGAACAGTTTTAAACAGAATTATGAACTTATTTCACAAATGAAAGCATGAACACTCAAGCTGAAGATTTCCATAAAGTGATGTGTCACAGCTAAACTTCATCCAAATACTGTGTAAAGCAATGAGAATATACTGTGAAAATAAAATGTACTAGCCCATATGTGTCTGGGACATACGTGAAACAAAGTAGAAAATGAAACACATTAAGAAAATAAGAGACAGGTCAGAATCAACTCAGTTACTACTTCTAATGCATGAGAACTTATTCTAAGGATAAACTTGTCAGTGACAAGATACAGTCAAATTTGGGTTTCTGTCCTCACGGGTTCTGCTGCAGCTTGTTACAGATCTACCCATCAGTTACCCAGAGAGCCCTGAACACTGAGTTTTTACAATGCAGCTGGCAGTGGGTGTCAATCAACCCTTCTCCTCAACAACGGTCTGCAATGGTGTAACTTTTTTCCCCCTTTTTGGACAACATGGGTTGAACATCAGTTCAGAGAGCTAGCAGGATTATCCCAACAGTGGAGCTGGCCAAGGAACAGCGCCCAGCATGCTGCTAGCTCTTGTAATGCCCCAGAGGAATTTATCAAAATGCCGAAGCAGCAAGGGTCAAGTGCCAGATATTTCTAGAACTGACTGACGGAAACACTGTTAGGACGTAGCCTAGACATAAGCACTGTTGACAAACAGCAGCGCTTTAGGCAAGAGCAAAAGCATAGCTGAACTTGATCATCTTCACTACAAACGGTGAATGTGAGCAACGGTCACAAACTGGTCAGAAATAGATGGTTACATTCCTAGTGTACCGGGGAAGCTGGAGAACTTTACAATTTCGTGCCATTGGAGAAATGCAGTAGGTTTTCATGAACTCCCAAAGCTAAGCTGACATTTCCATTTTCTCAAACTGAAAATCAATCATTTAAATGTTTTGCATTGGCCACTTGCAAAACTATCTTAAACTAAATTGTTTTGACATACAGATGAACGAAATTCCCTAAAAAAAACCAAACAAACAACAACCAAACTGCAAAAAACTGTTTGCCTTTAATGAATTTCCTCGCCCTCACTCTTTTCAACTTGGTGAAAGTGCCACATCTCTCAGCAGAGATCTTGATGTGCAGTTGGAAGTTCAGCTATCAAAATCCTGATGGAGTGAAACAGACTACATGACACACTAACCTAGAAGCAGAGTTGACTTGGTCTTTTAAGGGGCTGGACACCTCTGAAAAGAGAAGAGGAACAGATGAAGCATATTTTACAATCCAGCCTGCCTGGGTGCGTGAGTCTCCTATACATTAAACGTAACCTTGGAAAGCAAGAGACAAGTCAACTGACCCAAGGAGCTGGTCTCAGCAAGTAGGGAACCACAATAAACAGCACTACATCCCATCTGGCTCTTGGGGACTCTGGAATGGCCCCCTACTACGCTGGAAGTTTTGAGAAGACTCTCATCTTCTCATAGAGCTTTGTTAGCAGTACCCTGAACTGTGGTGGCTGGATCCCACAGTAAGTCTTTGCTAGTTCCTATAAGCTGGATATGCATAAGTAGCCACCCTGTAAGCTGGAGGCCACAAACCTTCCACTCAAGAGGAAGAGATGAAAAACAAATCCTAACCTGAAGTAGGCATGATTTATTTATTAAATCCACTCAAAGAAGGGACATTCAACTTTTTCCCTGGACTAAAGGCAGAAGTTTGCCCCCCCTCACAAGCAGTTCGTACTTCCCTCTTTGGCTTGTAAGGGAATCAATGGATCTAACAGATTAGATTTAGCAGATTCTGGTAAAAGGCATTACAACAAAAGGCAACAGGGCAAGCTAAGCTCACTTCAGAAAACCTAACTGGGTAGGCAGCCAATAATAACAGGGTAGTCTCAACTCCACCCATCCAGTGTTCTGGGAGATGGTGTCCACTCACGTCCTCCAAACATTAGGGCTTCTGACCTGGTTCTGCCACTATCCCCAACTATCTGCCAAAAGTCATCTTGTGTTTCCAAGGTTCAGTGCTAAACCCACCTCACACTTGCCACAGGCTGAGACTAGCACGTAGGCAACTACTGCAGAATGACTTGAGCCCTGCAAGCTCACACTTCGCCCTGTCTTGCAGTCTGATCTTCCTTCCCATGCAAGGATTGGCAGTTGAGCCTACAACAAAAAACCTACAACAAAGAACTGCAATGAACTACCAATGCACAGTAGCATAACATAAGGCAAGTAGCAGCTTGCCTGGCAACTTGCAGGGTGAGTACCTGGTGAGCATTTGTGAAATTTTAACAGAACTCTGAAGGATGACCTGCCTGTCTAGACACAAACAAAACAACAAAAATAAGCAGACATGCTTCATGCTCAAGAGGCAAGGAGATACCTCCTGTGACAGGTAGAAAGAGGAGCAGGTTTCTTCTAGGGATAATGACATGTCCCCATAAATTGCATTCTAACAGAGAATGAGACTCCTTCAAGTACATACATGACAGAAATGACTCCACCAACATTAACAATGACAACCTAAGTGATTTCAGGGCACACATTCTGTTACTACACATTACTCCTGGTTATCAGGGCACAATGTGGGACTAGGATTAATGGTTTCTTCCTTTTTCCCTCCTGCCACTGCCTTGGGTTCGTGCAGTGCTTGCCTCTAAATGAGATACTAAGCACCACAAAGAACTTCTACCTTTACACATTCCCAGTACTGGCAGAGTTGTCTTCATTGCAACAACTAATATAATTGCATCTTCTTGCCCATTCAGTCAGAACTCCTATCTGATTCCTCCAGGTCCCAAGAGACTTCTACTAGCTGCTCTGGCAAGTGAAGCTTCAAATCAATAACCCTACAGCTGTGAACTCTTCAGAGAAAACGATTTATTCGCCATACGTGTCTTTGTATATGACTGTCACCTAAGCAGCAACACATCCATTTATCCATTACGAAGCTTACAGGTCAAAGAAAGGGCCGAGGTCAAAGGCTGGAACACAGCACGCAGTACAAGAGCTTCAGCTATTAAGTGCAGAAGCGTAGGATAATTAGCAAAGTTCAAGTTTGCGTGATCATGCATGGGGAGAGTTTGTGTCCAATGGCAGAAAAACTGATAGTTAGGATACCTCGTAGGCACCCTTCCCTGCAATTACCAGCGGGATAAAATGGGAATAGATTACAAACACCCCGCCTTCATGTTCACATGCAGGGGACAGATAGTTTGAAGACTCTGCATGCATGGACATAATTAGGATTTGTGCCAATGTACTCCAAGAAGAGCTATAAATATCTTTGCTTAGCTCATTCAAACTCCTTTTATACACTCCTTTGACCCTATTTGGAATCAATACTGGGAGTTCTAAGTGGTATAATTACTGTGTACCAATCACCATCATTGGCCCTTTAATAAATTTCTACTATAGAATTTAAATGAGTTCATCTGCACAAGAAGTACATTTAGTTAGCAAGCATACATAAAAAGACAAAAAAAAAAAGACAAAAAAGGAAATAAGATTATTTTTCTTCACCCACTTTTGCAGAACCTTTAAATCAAGATTTGATGACATCTCACGTTTAAGTGAGTACTGGTAGTAGTAACTGAGGTCAGCACCATTTTCCTCAATCTCAGAAGTTATTCTGAATAAACTCCCAATTTTGAAATCAACCTTAAGAAGAAAGGCTAAACATAGAGGTTTCATTCAGTACTGTTGAAGTAATTAAGACCACTCTTTATTTGAGAAAACTCTGTCCTTTGATAGCTCAGCTTATATCATTTTAATGTGCACTTACAAAGTAACTAATCTATATTGTGAAAGTTGAACTTAAGTAATTTATTTGGTATCTATGTATCTGCAAATCTCTATGAAAAAAATGGTGTTTTGAGGTTTGTTTCATTCTTAATAAATTTTATTCTTTGACATACAGTGGGCTCAAGAAAGACTGAAACATGACAACTGAGGAAAGTAGTTAGATTAGGAGAAAGAGCCTAATTTATCCTAAAATGATGAGAAGTGTCCTAGTCAGAATGAATGCCACTAAAGTTTCACCTGCATGACTTTCGTATGAGATTGGCATTTCCTTATTGTCAGTACTCAACAAATACACCCAAAAGAGAAAGTTTACACTGGGCTAGGCTGCACAGACAGGAGGAGTAAGAGAGGAGAACAAAAAAAGACACCCCACACCTGCAGCTGTGGTTAATTGAAAAAATTACTATCTTGTTGCTTATAATCTGATCATACCTAAATTAAAATAAGGCACTTGCTTACACTTAAGAAAAATCTTGGTAAGATCCTCGATACCCACAAAACATACTTTGGGAGATTTCTGATATGCATTAGAGCAGAAGGCTGAAAAGGCTTACGGTATAGTACCGATAAACCTAAAAACTTGTTGTTACCTTTAATTCCTTGGAAAGAAATTGATTTCTCAGTTTCTGAAACACAATATATTCTAAAAACTGCTAGACTACTTTCAAGAATCACAGACATGTACAACTAAGGTTTATATTGTGACTGAGTCAGGAATCAGATAACCACATTAAAATAATTCATTGCCACATGTGGTGCAGCCTCCTTTCTGATGTCAACCTCTCTTCCATCCAAAGTCTGGAAAGCAAGAAGGCTACCTTCTAGTGACCAGATCAGAAACCACATCTGTGCCATGATGTCTGAGAAGCGTGTCTTTTAGACAAAAAAAGACAAGTTACCCAGAATGCTTTAGGCCAAATCTTCACCTACACTGTAGAAAGCAAAAGTGCTACTGATAAACTGTTCATGAGTACACACACCTATGCTTAATTCTTTTTTGAGACCAAATATATCCTCAGTTACTGCTGAGTGCTGCTCTACATGTATTCGTAACTTAAACAATTTTAAAAAAACCTATTTCAAAAGACATCAGGTATTCTCCCGAGGTACTTCAGAACACAAAGAAACATGGCAAGGGGATAGCTTAAACGTATCTACATTGATATGTAGATATAGTCTTGACAGACAAACTGATCATACTGATGAATACCAGGATCTGCTTTGATTGGAAGGGCAACAGCAATTCCTTTAAAAGTAGGCTGATCAAAAGGGTCTGTTGTTCAGGAACTGCCACATTATTCAAACAGATCTATTGGTGAGTGTTGTATACTTCTGAGCCTTCTTAATGAGGAATAGAAGCAAGTTAATGCAAATAAAGCTTAGGATAACTCACAGAGGATTTTTAAAATAAGAAGGGACAAAAGCTCTTCTCCCATCTGCACCAGCAATTGTTTTTTTAAAGCAAACGGCAAAAGGGAATCCTCACCCGTGCATGCGCACACACCAGTGGTACCAGCCACAAGGAGACCTCGTGTTTCAGGGCGATGGTCTTGGCTTTCAGCTCAGCATCTACTCTTGCTGCAATGTGACACTGGTTTATTAAGCATACACTAGAGATGCTTCTCAAGTCTGGTCTGGAGGCTGCCTCTTCATTAATGAAACCATAACCAGAGTCCCTCTTGCCTTGTTTTTCAGATATAAGAGGGGTCATTTATTGTATTATTTGCCAGGTTCCTCTCCATTCTCATACACTAAGACAACACCTGTGGTGCTGATCATCAGCACTTAAAACAGTGAGGATGTAGATCACAACACGTCAAAAATTGTCACACAGCAACTCCTTCCACCATTTTGGAAGCTGTTAAAGGATCCCCTACCTCACTCTTTCGTTCAGTTCATCCTGCAAAAAACCATACATATTTAAATGAAGAAGCAAATCCTATTTGCAAACCTCAAGACAGCAGTGCTAAAATTTCTTAGGATGCAGACATAGATCCATTTCCATCCCGGAGCAATTGGCTTTGGCCTTCAGCACCAGTTGAGAAATCATGAGTGCTCAAGGAATCCACTCAAAGGAGACTAGGCTTCTCTAGTAATTGTTAGAAGACACTTCACTTGAATCATTCAGCATAATCACATACTGCAAATATGATACCTATGTAGATGACTAACCAGATAGAATATGAGAATAAAAACAAAGAAAAATGATACTTAAAATTAATTTAAAAAACCCCACACAAAAAACTACCCACACTAAAAGCAAATTCATCAATTCAAAGAAAACCAAAACCAATCTTTCAAGGGTTTGGGCGTCTATAATTTGAAGCTTCCACACAAATGCAGCTTCAAGGTCACAGAAACAACCGAATCATTATTAACTCTAATCATAGTATAAAATAGTGTCAAACTACATGTAAGTAATTGGATGTGATTGTACCACACCAAGACATACATTAAATTACATTTGTTTATTCTTATCTTTTCCATACAAAATGCTCCAGGTCATCTGTCTAGCAAAAAATATTTCCAATTATTCCTGAGACTGACTAACATTGAATCATCATAAACTGCCTGCAACAGTTACTCACTATCACTTAGTCATTTAACTGCTACTCACGATCGTATCACTAATGGCTATCACATGCTATTTTCCTATATTTTCTTATGCTACATAACATAATAGGCCAACAGAGTGAGCTAGGATTAAACAGCATGTTTATAATAGCAAAAAAAACCCAAACAAGCAAACACAAAAAACCCCCAGGGAAGACTATAGTTACTCCACACATCTTCCCCTGCAGAAAAGCACACAGTGCATAAAGCCGGATAGCATCTTCAAAAATATTTCAAGCTTTTGCAAGCCCTACAACCCATGCAATCCATACTGAAAGACTCAGTTTTTTCTTAAACGGGCAAGTAAAATATCAGGGCCACTATTCTTGTCTAAAATTCAAATCACACAACTTGAGTTTCTGAGTTTGCTCTCCTCCCTACTGGTTTTTATTACGTCACCTATAGCCCCAAAGGCTCCTCTCTCTTCTCTTCCCTCCCTCCCCAAGAAAAGTCAAATGCACAAAACCTCTCTCCTGGTTGGCAAATTGCTCATTTCATCTCAAACTGTAAAATACCACCAACTTAGGATTTTGGGAAAACAGAAAACTTTAAAATCAGGCATTTCAGAACTAATTTATGCATACAGATTTATTCAGGTTATAACAAGAGAAAGCATTCTATGATTTTTAGCTTCAGTTCAATCACAATTAAAACCTTCCAATTGTGGGATGTTCATACATGTAGTATGGAATTTTAAGGGTATTTCACATGACTAAGCTAAGCATAGGGATAAACCCTTACAGAACTCTGGCCATGAAGAACAAAATAGAGGCTAGTCTACAGGGTGGTTGACCATAGACTTATCTTCCGCATACTACTGAATTAAGAATTCAATATAAAAGCAAACACGGTTTACTAAATATTTACTTGGAGCTCAAGCTAAACTATGTTAAAACAAAACACCAGAAAACCTCAACCATAACATATTTTATACACTTCTGTGATCTTGCAACTGTTCGCAGTTACAGTTAAAATACATGCTGGATTTTAATTTCTCCATTCCATTGTAGACTGTCCATGGGATTGGGGGAGGTGGGTCAAAAGGGAGGGGCAGGGCATGTGTGTGTATCTCAAGTATGCTACAGTATCTGTGCTTTTAAATGAAACAAATAGCTCAGTATCATTATAGAAATAAAAAGGAAAATGCAGACTGCAGTATTAACTGGGTAAAATAATCCTTTCCTTTCCAATAACCAGAAGCAGCAGTACTCAAACTGTAAACTACGAATGAGGATGACCATGCAGAGCACTTCTTGGGTTCCTCTGGCAATCTATGGTGCTGTTCATCATGCTCTCCTGACCTTTGCTGAAGTATTTTATTAAAAGTCACACAGAGTTATGGATACAGTTTACTATTATCTTCCAGTTCTGTGTCAACAAGAATGTTACCATTCACAAAAAAAACAAAAACAATGTGGTCCAATTAATGAAAAAGTTCAAGAAGTCCTGAACTACAGCTGCTTAAAAGGTAAGCAAATGTTTTTCTGTTATCATTAATCTTTTGCTCATTGTAAGTAAAAGGAGTATCAGCAAACAGAAAGACTAGAAACTGAAGAGTTTTGTAGAGTTGTTGGATTCTTAAAAATTGTTTGGATTTCATGCAAATTAACTTCGGTCAGATTTAAATCAGATGAATAACTTGCATACTGTTAGCCAGACAGGACATTTAAAGAGCATACCTGTTAAATATGTTCTCACTTGCAGCGTACTTGTCCAGTCTTCCCAAAGGCGTCAACATTTCATCTTGTGAGACAAAGTCCAGGGCTGAAGGTATAATAATCACATCAGACTCTGAGCTGTAGTCATCCACACCAACTATCAGAGACATCAGAAATATTCCTTACAATCACAGTAGTTTAACACTAAAATGATGTCTGTTGTTGGTCTGAAATACAGAAGTCTAGGCAAGGTCCCATGGACAACGTATTTACTAACTGCACTACATCATCCCCCCAGCTTTCCCCCGCCTCCATAAGGCCTTTTTATACAGTGATTCATTAAGTATAAGTTGGACCGAATGGATTTTGAGTTACTTGCTCTAAATTCCCAAATATGATGTTTCACTAAACATGTATCTCACACTGTTTTTAGCTGACAAACAGCATTTTTATACCTTAGATTTTTGTTAAGCAAATTCCTTTTAGGTAATTCTAAATGCAGCTTTTTGAAGACGCACAGACAAAAATCATAGCAGCAGTTAGCCCAGAGATAAAGAGTTAATACAACATCATGTAACAGAACAAAGAAGTTTTGTTTTTAAAAAAGAAAAATCTAAATTAAGCGTGTTAAAAATGTCAGGTGTGTGTTGCTATATCCAACTACCAACTAAAATAGGCACAATACACCTATTGCATAATTATTAACCAGCACATCAATAGGGAACTTCATATAAACAGACACCTTTATCAACATGGAACCACAATGAAAAGGAAAAGGGGTCCATCCGCACTGTGCAGAGCTGCTTGAAGAACTACAAATTGAACTACCACCTTTTCTGGCTTCAATATACCCTCTAAACTGCTCAAAAACTCAGTCCAACAACAAACACCTCAGACTGCAAATGCAATCTCATATTTGCTAGTATTACAAATGCATTCACTTATTTCCAAGAACTATCCCAGGTCACCTGCTTTACTCCTGAAACTACAACACAACAACTATTCTTCAGTCTAGCCAAGTTTCTCTGAAATGCCCTTTGAAAACCGGCAAATAGAGATGGATAGAAAACAAAAACACATCTAGAAGTCTAACAATGACTTTTTTTTTTAAAGTGAACTATATAAAGGAAAGATAAAATATTATTGTCCTCTTAGCTTCGATACAATTATACCACGTTATATAAATTGGTTATCATCATCTTCAACATTCAGAATACACAAGCAGATACCATTTTCTGAATGTCTTCCTTAATATATTTCAAATGTCAAAAGAGTTAACACCAAATGCTCCGTAAGAGTAGTATTTTTAGAGCCAATAGCATCCCTTTACTAACAAACTACTACTCCCATTTTCTAGGTAGAGAATCAATGGACATGTTTAATTGGTCATAAATCCCATCCCTGGAGGAGGGTCCAAATTCTGCAGCTGCTGATAGGACATGAAATCCTACCAGAAACCAAACGAAGTAGTAATGGGAAAAGGCCAAGGGCGTAAGAGGAATATGGGAGACAGGGCCAAGGAAGAAAGTGTGCTAGGAGCTGTGAGACAAAGCAGATGGAAGAGCAATCTGGGAAGAGGAACTAGTGCTCTTGGATATGCCTATAGTAGAGAGGATAAACTGCAGGGAAAGGCTGAAAAAAAAAAAAAAGTCAGCCACAGAAAGCTATTGCAGTACAAAGGGAAGGCACATAGCAACCCCAGGTTTACACAGAACTGTTTGAACCTGGGTTTGGTTGGTTCCGTTTGTTTCTTTCTTTGTTTGCTTTGGTGTTTTCTGGGTTTCGGGGGGTGTGGGGTGTGGTGGTGTTTGTTTGGGGTTTTTTTACAAGAAGCAATTTTATTTTCACAGGAAAGGTGCAGAAGGTAAAAATGGACTTATAATGCAGGTTAGGAATTTATGCCAGGTTAAGCTAACAATGAGCAGGCTACATCCTTTGACGGGCTCATAGGCCGTTCAACCATTGATCCAACTAAAACCAGAGGTTCTCCTGTGTTCAGTTAGGCCATGCACCCTTCTCACACTGAATAGTCTTTTTATAATAGACTGTATCAGTTGGAAGGGACCTACAACCACCGTCTAGTCCAACCACCTGACCGATCCAGGGCTGGCCAAGTTAAAGCATGTTGTTAGGAGCATTGTCCAGGCGCCTCTTGAACACTGACAGCCTTGGGGCATCCAACACCTCTCCAGGGAGCCTGTTCCAGTGTCTGACCACCCTCTCGGCACAGAAACGCTTCCTCATGCCCAGCCTAAACCTCCCCAGGCGCAGCTCTGAACCCTTCCCAGGCGTCCGGGCGCCGGATCCCAGGGAGAAGAGATCAGCACCTCCCTCCCCACGTCCCCTCCTCAGGAAGCTGTAGGGAGCAGTGAGGTCGCCCCTCTGCCTCCTCCAAACCAGGCAAACCCAGAGCCCTCAGCCGCTCCTCGGAGGACATTTTACTGTACGCGACCTCCTACCATTGGAGGGCTGACTCAAGACATAGCTGAAGCAAAAACACACTGCAGCATCCACACATGAAATAAGTTACACAGATAGTCCTCATTCCAGGAAGATAATTGCATGCATTTTTCTTTTTTGTATCATTTTAACTGGGCCTTTCACTAAGGAGCTAAACCACTGCACTTGGGTTGATTTCTAAACCACAGAACTTAAATTAATACAGCTGTGGCATAGCCAACTGGGAAGAAAAAACATCACTCTAATAATCAGTGAAATTAATTTTATTACAGGGTCCTATCTTCCTACTTTAAAGTCTGTTAAGCCTATTTAAATTTAAAAGCATAAATTGAAAATACTATGTCAAAATACCAACGTAATTATTCTCACCAATATTATTTTTATTTAGCTGTCAAATGCATTTGATGTCTCCTACTAGTTCAAACAGAAAGTGAGGTGTGCTGGTTTGACTGCTGTGTTTGTGCATTGCAAAATTAAGTTTAGCACTACGTGGGGCTTGATGTGCCTCAGCTACTGATGCTGAGCAACATTTACTATTTAAATAATTCCAGCATTTCAGCTCATAGTCACAAAAGAGATCATTCTAATGGCAGCATCCTCATAAACACAACACTACTATCAACAGGGAAGAGAGGGGAGATACAAATAAATCAATTGATACATGAACAGTTTATAGTTGTTTTTAAGTACTGTTACAGTTACCTTATATATTCATTTTTACTTTCAACATCAAGCCACCAATCCAAGTGATATACAGCATCAACCCAGGGGAGTTCCCATTCTAACAAAGGCCCTCCTATGGATGTTTGGTTTTAACTTGACCCAAATATGATTCACCAATAATCTAACCACTCCTCATCTGCAACGCATAAAGAACACACTTTGCATTATTCAATAAACCAAGTCACTTTGATACTCCCAACACTTGGAAGTCTATTCCAAAAAAGCTATCAAAAAGGCTGTTAACTGAATATTAGATTCCTGAGATGTTAAAATATGTTACAGAGGATTAAGCATTTTTAGAGGAAAGACTGCAGCCCAGGTGACCTTCATCCTACAGACATGTTTGGAGTGCATTCATCCCCTACAGCTATTAATCCTCTTACTACTACAAACTCTCATTCTAAAAATTTTCCTTTCTTACTCCCTCTTCCTTATTCCTCTCTTATGGAGTTAAGAGTCCTCAAACATGACTCTGCAAACTCTTTATTTTAGAAACGGTGCAAAGCTTTCCCAACAAATATACAGTGCCCATTTCCCACAGAGAAACAGCTAAAAGAGCATTTTGAATACATGACCTTTGAATTTAGCCATACACAGTTGTGTGCAACAGGGAGCACATTTTATACTTCTGTACAGTTGAAATTACTGTATTTTAGGCTGCTAATGTGCTACAAGAACTGACAGTCAGTCTGACTTCTATCATCTCAACACTTATTTCTTTTTATGTTAATCTCCACTACTGGCTTTTCTTGTTTAACACTACTTATATGTGATCATACTCCCAGAAATTTACAGTTTAAAATTAAGTTAAAAGTACATTTTAAAATCAGGAATATATTTTTAAACTTGATTTTTAATGTTCAGAACATCAGTACTAAATTTCAAATTTAAAATGAATATTGTTTATGGTCTCTACTGTTCATATAGTTCACAGCAATTGCAGTATTTTTTAACTGAAAATTGCTTATTTCATTTTACTTTTGAATAGATTTGTGTTTTCTGATACTCATGGATAACCATATCTAAAGTCAGCAAAACTAAGCCCTAAGTTTAGAACTACAGGCGTTACCCTGGTATCCACGCCACTATTTTAAGTATTAAAGGTTGAGGACAATCCTGTGTGTTTTAACACTTGAGGAAATTTCTGGAGTGAAAATGTGTTAGTTATAGCACTTACAAAGCACCTTGGTTAGGTGTCAGACCTTCTTCTTCCCTCCACATGAATAAAACCAAATTTTTCCCATAATACTGTAAATCACGTGCAACTGACTGCTGTCGAGATCTGGGGTCACAGTCTATTTGACAGTGCTGCCGGGACAAGATGGCAAGTCCTTAAGCACTGGGCACCAATTCACGGCAACTTCTTTTTGCAGCAACTGGCACCTGACAACTTGTGACTGCAAGGGGAGACTGGAAAGGTGCAGAGAGGTTTTCCAGTGAAGCCACAAACATCTTGTTTACCTCCCCTAAATTTCAAGTACGAGCTTTACAGATGTGCTCCTACGTTTGTAGCATGATGATTTAAGGTAGATAGCAGGTCAAGTGTCATGTATAAAGAAAGATATCGTGACATAAGTATTTTCAGAAAAAAATTGCCAGACCATGAGAGGATGAAAAAGTTTAATATTAATAGAAGACTGGTTAGTTAAAAAAGAGAAAAATAAGAAATTTTGTTTAAATTGTATAGGATTTCTTTTTTTAAATAAACTAATGACATATGTAACATTTCCTGAGGGAACTGGCAGATGAAGTTACCAAGCCACTATTCATCATACTTGAGAATTTGTGGCAGTTTGGTGATGTTTCCACTGACTAGAAAAAAGGAAATATAGCCTCCATTTTTAATGGTTTTAAAAGAAGGGATGTCATCCAGAGGGACCTGGACAGGCTGGAGAGGTGGGCCACTGCCAACCTCATGGAGTTCAACAAGGCCAAGTGCAAGGTCCTGCACCTGGGACAGGGCAATCCCAAATA